TGGTTGTGTCTGTTGTTGTTGCTCCTGTAGTGGTTGTGTCTGTTGTTATTGTTGTTGTCGCTCCTGTGGTTGTTGTGTCTGTGGTTGGCGCTGCTGTCGTTGCTGTCGCTACATTATTAAATAAAATTATTTTATTTTGTTTAGTGGTTATGATTATTCATTTCAAGCGGTATTTAATTAATCAATATACTTCTTGTTAGTTAGAATTGTTGTGATAGTTAAGGAATGAATTAAAATGAAAATGACTATCAAGAACAATAATTGGCAATTCTTACTTGTATTTGTTGTCATTGTTGACTCGTTTCTAATCGATGTTAATACTATAGTTGTAGGAATAATTATTGCAGCAACTAGCATTAATGCTATAAGCAATCCAGCTAACACTGGTGCATTACAGCAACAACAACAACAACAACATAGTTTTGATATTGCTGCTGCTGCTCTTCGATTCCTATAAAGGTTATTATATGAATTAAAACAGAAATTGAATAAAAGAAAAAACATTACCGATTTTCACTATTTTTATTTCTATATGCATAGACAGTCGGTGTAATACTACGAATAGGTGTTACGGTAGTATGATTGTTTGGCGACATAACATAAGTTGATACTTGTAAGGAATTAGGATCAGGTGTTTCTACAGGAGGAAGTGTTGAGTTTGGCGGAGAAGGAAAAATGTTCATTATGTCAGTCTGAGAATTTGGAGAAGGCACAGAAGTTTCCCCCAGTTCAATATTCGATGGAGAAACTACTGTGCGTTTAGGACTGAACATTTTTAAAAATAAACTCGCGATTAACTGTTTTATAAAATATACGTTTTGTGATGTTGCTTTTGTGTTTTATATTTGCCAAGTTAATGTGTTTTTTTAATACACAGTGGCAAATACAATTTTATTTCAAGTTATGAAGACGAGAAGGAGTAGAAAAACAAAAGAATCCTAAATAATATACATCGATCAAATGGACATGCTATTAAAAAGAAATGTTTAGCAAGCAATACTTAGAAAACTTTGATCCCTTGAAAACAAAAAAGAGATTAAAGAAGTTCTATAACAGCAGAGTACTATCATCATCGATCAAAAAAACAAGCATCCACTAATAATATTTTCTTTGTTTCTAAGCAGGACGTTTTAGAAAAAAAACAGAACAGATAAAAGGATAATATAACTAATGATTGCATTGTTTATCGAGTTGAACGACAAAGCAAATGTCTGAAAAAGCAATTGTTTTTAAACATGAATTATTACTACAGGTAATGCATGTTCTTCCAATACATATTAGCATTAAGTTTGAATTATTACTTATAGATTTATCGACAATGATAGATAAAAATAATCAAGTGACATAGAATGAACTACTTTTTTTTTGAATTATTAAATGATAATAATCAACTTTTATTTTTGTATTACTATTGTCAAGAATCTGAGCTCGAAAATTTCAAGAAGTAAGAAAAGAAAATATTCAAAATTCAAGTAAGTATTTGATTTTATTACTTATGAAAGAGTCACAAAACTGAAATTTTTCTTTCAAGATAATATGTATCGACAGATTTCAACTGAACCATAATATATGTTTAATATCTATCTAAAACAAATTGTGCTTGTCTGTTAATTATATAAGCAGTATTGTGTATTGACGATTCTTAAAACGACACAACAATAAGAGAATCCTATGAAATAACGATTATTAAAGAATATTTGTCCTTAAAATTTTTTTTCTTATGAAAACAAAAATGCACTTTGAGAATAATGACAGTTGCTAACAATAGAAAACTAAAATATTAATCTAGGGTGCCACTCTCTTCTCGAGGCTTCTCAAGAATGACTGATGAGAAAAATTTGAAATTTTCAAGGCAGATAGATCTTGACGAGTATAGCAAAATTTGTCATCCTAAATGCTGTCTTCTATGAGATATTGGACCTACAATTGGTCAAAATGACTTCCTCCTCCGGATTCTCCAAGATACTACGTTCAATCAAGTTCAAAAATTTTTTATACGTATTGAATAGTATTTTGGTTAGTATTTCTTTTGGTTACCTTATATTGTTTGTCCTTTTAATAAAAATGCCAAAATACTGGACGTATCCTAAAGGACGTTTGTTTTTTTTTTATAGGACAAAGTTTGTAAAAGCTACCAAAAGTCATCAGAGCAATAGTTTTTGAGATTAAAGAAAAACCTATACCATGTAGTGACTAGTATATGTGAAGAATGTTTCAACTCGAGATCTTTTAACATGTCGTAGAAATGAGGACAAAACACTACTGTTTTTTATATAAAATCTGATTTTGAGAAAAACTCAAAACAAAATTAAATATTGATTTTTTCCTAAATAATTGGTCGCTAATAAAAAAAGAAAAGTATGAGAAATTATTGTAGATTCTAGTAGTTACTAGACTCTATTCAATATGATTGATGATCAAATAATAATGGTGACTGTTGATATAAAAGAAAATAATCAGACAATAGTTTCTTAATAGTTCTCACTTTGTTTAGCTACCTGCATTTTAATTCACTAACATAGTTGTCTTTAGAAATATGACATTTCCAGAAACTTCAATTAAATAAAACTACAATAGAAATTTATTAAAGAATAAGTAAACATTTTATTTTTTTGGATTCCAAATCTGAACATTCTTATTCCTTCTTCTTCATTTTGATCTATAAAAATAAATAAAATGCAAAGAATCTAAGAATGCAACAGCTATAAATGAAGATTTTTATCAATAAGAAATGATCTGTATGTATTACATCTGAATGCTTTACTTATAAAATAATGATTATATTCTTTTTTAGCAATATTTGATAAATTTTAATTTAGATTGTTTTCATAGATAGCTTGACTAGAGAAAAACAGCTATCTGTAACAGAGCTGCTTGTGTGACCTGTTATCTGACCGGTGCATGTCAGATGAAAATTTCAAATTTTAACCTGGCTTGGCTCTTCTATTTCGAAAATCAAATGTTGATGCATCTTCTTATTATTCAATACTACTGTGACAAATTCATTTGATTCAAGTAACAAACACTTTGCGAAAATTAATTGTCAAATATAAATATCACTTTTTCCTTTATTTCGTCATTGTATACCTAATCATATGTTGTTGTTTTTTTGCTATCATGATTATATTTTTCTAATTAAGCGAAACAGGACTGATATGATCAAAAACATTGTATTAATTCATGCCTTTGTTGTATGAAAAATATTTATGATGTTTATCCTTTTATTTTAATTTGCTATTTCATGAAAGGAACCAACATTATTTTATCTTTATAAAAAGAAATTAAGTGAATAACTGAAACTAAAATAATACATTAATGTAGAGTAATACAATTGAATGTATTCGAAAACTCAGAAATATTAATCTATCTAATTTGGCATGCAGTCATTTCGAACCAGGCAAAAAAAAGGTAGTCTGTAGCATACGAAAAAAAAAGTTGCTATGGATGCGTAATCCAATCGTTGAATATATAGATTCAAGAACACCAATTAAGAAATGAATCTGACTAAGGCATAGATATTTGCTTGTTTAATTTCTCTTCTTGAATTGATTATTGACTCTATGTGCCAAGGTTTATTGTTCATATCTATATAAAAATTATACAAATGGACAAAAAAATTCTTAGTAAAATCGGCCTTTCCTACAGAACTATCATTGTATAGAAGATATTAAACTACTGAAAGCAAACTTGGAATAGTGTTAATGTCCATTCTGAGATAATAAATATTATCTTTGTTGTTTGTTCCAAGAAAATGAAATTTAGCGTTCTCTCATAAGTCAATACTTACAGAGAAACTGCCTCAACTATAATTCAGCGTTTCAACTCATAGTGAATCCATAACGCAGTCTTGGTAGGATTGAAAAAATGCTTAAAAAGGTTACGTGCTCATGGACCTTTGCAACCAAGTTATAACCGTTTTACTGAATTTTCAATCCACGTTCAAGTATATACTGAAAAATCAAATAATGGAATTTCGACCTGACATTCAGCATCTGAATGGATTTAATAATCCTTGGAATATTTTTAAAGTTTCAGTCAAAAAGAAAGTTACTTTATCGAAATATTAAATTTCCAACAAATAGTCGCTTGCCATATGTATGTCAACAAAACTCAAGTTCACTTGGAAATTTCATATCTCGACAAATGAACATTCTTTTTAACTGAAATTTTCAAGATATTCCAGGGATCATTGAATCTATCTATGGGCTGAGTTTCTGATCAAAATTTCGTTATTTGATTTTCTAGTAAATACTTGAAAATAGGTCGAAAATTCAGTAAAACGATCGAATTCAGCTCTAGAGACTTATGGATACGAGTCCTTTTAAACATTTGCTAGTATTACAAAGACTTCTTCGTGAGCTCAATATGAACTCAAACAGTAAATTACAGTTCGAATACTTCCCTCTTTTGTTCATACTAGAAAAAAGAAAAAAGCGAAAAGGTTTACAAATAAAGCATTATCAAATATACTTAGTTTTTCTGATTTTATTTATAATTATACAAATGATTACATATATAAAAGAAGTAATCAAATTTCTCAAGTACAAAGAAAACACAAAAATTATTAATTTATTTTGTTTCGATGATATACAATTAAATATGTCGGTAATGCTAAATGAGCATCCTCATTAGACAAACAAATACAATCCTGATCAGAAATCTTTTTTGATGATAATTGAACAGCAAACATATAATATTTTCCATCCGTTGAACGACGTGTATCATATATATGAGTACTTGATGCAACAGAAGTTAAGCGTATCAAACTTTCTTGTCCATCTAAATTACAAACAGAATTTTTTTTCATTAAAAAATACAATATAACAAACCCCTATTGGAATGTAAACCATAATGAATTATTGATTGAACAGATGAAAATGGACATCCATGAAAAAAATAATATATCATTTTTATATTTTTTTCCAGCATAGTGAACATATAATGGCCAATTTTGAATAGCATCAACCTTTTATTAAATAGAAACTTAATCGTTCAAATAATTATTTAATTAAAGTTTATCATACTCGTTCAATATACCATTCAGATTTAGGCATTGATCGTTCAAAGACGCGAATACATTCAATTGAATTAAATTGAAGATGTGAGATTGAAAATGTTTGAATCATCAAGGAAGTATGCAACCATGTCGATGGAGGAACAATTTTAGAATCTGCTAAAATAAAACATCCGATTTTCAAACGCGCTTATGAATCAGTATTTATTATTTTTTTTACCGTTTAATGGTTTTCTATCAAGACGAGCAGGTTTTTCATCATCGTAGATTTCTACTTGTGAAGTTTTTAAATCAATATCAAATATAATATTATTATCACGTTCAATACGAATCTAATTAAAATTGAAAAAAATAATATTTTTTTGCAAGATAAAATAAACAAATAATAGAATATTTACTTTCGATTTATCAACTGAAAAAGCTTCATCAATTTTCATTGATTCATACGTATTCAGTTTAATTTCGTTAGATATGTTTCCAGTTTTATAAATATAATATTTATGTATTAATCTTTCTTGTCGAAGATTAGCAAAACATTGTGAACATGATTCACGATCACCACGAAGTATTAATTTATTTTTAGAAAAATCAATACGTGGTAATACATGATACTTGAGACATACATCAACTAAGTGTTCGACCTTTTCAATGAAACCAAAAAAAGAATTTATTTAGAAATTAGAATCAGATCAATACTTGATCAACGAATGGTTTTTGAACAAGAGATAGATCATATGTTGTTTCATTGATCAATCCTTTTAATAATTTCAACAATTCTTTATGATAGTCAACTATATTTGGTAAGTCTGCTGATACAGTGCGTATTTGTTTACCTAAAAATAAATAATTTATTTTTAATATAAAATAGTAAAATAAAAAATATTATTCGATTCATATTACATATGAAGAAAAACGAGATATGAGACATGATAGAGCATGGATTTATTTGATGAATCACTTCACAACGAAAGTCTATGAAATCAAGGCAGCAATACGGAAATTATTTTCCGAGAGCTGGAAAATGTCTTGAATTCCATAGGATGATACGTTTTCAACTGATCAATCAATCGCTTTCTCAACAAAAGTCACTGAATTATGAGTGGTCGACACATCAGTGACGTTAGCATCATATTCGAGTAAAAGTTATCCAATTTCGTCTAGGAGCTCGTTTCAAAGCTCCCAACCAGCGTTCCAAGTACAACTCGACGAGTTCTATCCAATGGTATGCTCAAATCTCCGATAGCTCAATGTATGATTTTCAGATTTTCTGTAGCGCCATCTATCAGCCCAAAAACCATACATTGAGCTATCAGGAATCTGAGCGTACCATTGGATAGAGCTCGCGGAGTTATACTTGAAACGCTGGTTAGGAGCTTTGGAACAGGCTCCGAGACGAATATACTGATTCAGAATATGACCACGAGGAATCCTCTTAGATTGGTTTTTCTGACTAATAAACATTTTGTCTGATATAGCTTTTCATCTACTCACAATGAAGATGTTTGCGTTGCTAGTTAAAAAAAACCAGATATATTCAAGTCACAATAAAGCTCTCACATGCTAAACTAACAAATTTAAAATATTAGTGTTCCTTGGCGTGTCTAGATTCAGGCACGTCAAGAGCCGCTAATATTTTAAATTTGTTAGTGTGACGTTGAGAGCTTTATTTTGACCCAAATATGTCTAATCTTCTGAACTGACAGTACAAACACTTCTATTGTCAGTATGATCGATAATCGTTAATACCATAACGTTCATTAAAAAGCAACAAATTAGTTAACAACGTTTCCTACCAACTACCCATGTCGTGCAAACCACGGTCCACTGAGAGTTTAACTGTTCGGTTAAGCGCAATTCTTTTGCTTGATTTTTTTTTTATATCTCACTGCATGAATATTTTTTAAACTCTTTGGAAAGTGTTAGATTTCAGTCAAAATCACCCATCCTAAGGAATGTGAGCGTACTCATGTCAATGGCGAAGCCAGGAAAGGGACAAGTCTGTCTAGCTCCAAATTCTGTTTCCGCCACTGGTTCATATTGCCCGTACGAGCCATATCGGTTGTTTTCACTTAGTTTTCGAGTTTTATTATTTATTAAAAAGGACACCACAAAACTAACCATTAGTTAGTAGACCAAACCAATGGGAAACAGTGTGGCACTATCCCATGTCGCACAAACCACTCGAAAATCGGCAGTTAAACCGTGTTTATCCTGTATAATTTTTTTGTATCACCCTGGATGAATATTTTTTAACTTTTACAAAATTGTTAAGTTTTAGTTGAAATTGCGTTCTCCTCTAAATGAGAGTACGCTGAAGCCGTCAGTATCTTCCATACCGGCTAAATTCACTTAGTTTTCGAGTTTGATTTTTTATTCAAGATGGTGCCACAAAAATAGCTTTCCGTTAGATGACTTAACCAATCGAGAAATCAGTGGGGTCATCTGGTGTAAATTATTGTAGCGCATTAATATGGACTTCTGTGGGCATTGGTCTAGTCGACTCTCCCCAAAGAAATCATCGGGGAGTCCCCTGAAAAATACGAAATTCCTGAGGAATCTCTGTCGTGAATTCCCTCAGGATCCCATAAAACTCTCCAGAAAGTGTCCAAATTTTAGAGAATTCCTCTAAAATTTTCATAAATTTAAATTTTTCAGAGAATTCGAATGGTGATTTCTGGAGAGTCCCTGATAATACTCATCAATTCCCTGGAGAGTCCCTGAATCCCCTCTTAACTCCCCCAGGGACTCACGTCAGGAATTCCTCCGGGATTCTTCTAGGAAGTCTCGACTAGGGTGTTTAAAGGATTCAAACGAAATAAGGGAAACAGTGTAAACTGAATCGAAGCCACAAGAGAATGGTAATGGCGGACTAATCGGCTTCAGTTTTGGTAAAACATGAACACTCCATACTTTACAAACACTCAATCCTATCGATCCCCCATTACCATTCTCTTGTGACCTCGATTCATTTCACATTATTTCCCTTATATTAGTAGACTTCCTTAAATGATACCCATAGATTTTTACTTGCAATCGATTTTTCCAAGATTGAAAATAATAATTTAGCAGTGAAATTTTTACAAAATTGATAAAAAAATGAGAAAATCATTCGAACCGTTGATTTTTTAAAGAAGCACGGTCACCTGTCGGTTTCGATGAAAGATTGACGACATAGATATAGCAATTCTTATCGTAAGAAAAATTTTAGAATCATTGATTCAACAAAATAATTGCTCTGATCAGTACTCGATAGATATTTAGGTTTTGCTGTGATCTTCTTAATAATAGAAAAACATGTTGAAGCGAATTGATCGTCCAAAAACTGTTCGAAATAGATCCATTATTATGGTATGAGCTATTGGAAGAATTTTGTTTGTTCTTTGAAATGGTTTATCAAAAATTTTGAACTTAAATTTTTATATAGCTATGAATCTAGGACTTTAATAAATAGAAACATTTCAATGAAAAGAAGAGTGATCATCGCCACATAGCGTATTTTAAAGATCAATTAGAAGTTGTACCAACCTAATTTTTTAGGCATTTCCTGCTGAGAGAATCAAAAAATAGTCTGGAAGGAAGAAACAATCGTTCTCAGTGCTCCTCTATATATCCATCACTAATTTCTAATGATTTCCTTACATTCCAAAGTTCGACGAATATATTGACTTGTGTCAACTGGAATTGATCTTGATTGTGAAACATCAGTTGCCGACGATATGTCAACTTTTTTCGATCCGTTTTGTTGGCAAAAGTTAGCCAAATAAGCACGAAATATCTAAATTAAAGAAGAAATATTCAGGAAAAAAAAACATTGCGATCGAATAAATTTACTTGATAAGTGTTTTGATTATGATCTGATTTAGTTGATGGATAAATAACAAATAATACATCCATTGTACATTTGTTTAAATGTTCAATAGCTGTCATTATCATTGATTCACAAACTTTATTTGGATCAAGACCAATCATTCCAGTACCAATCTTAAATATCAATGAAGTTTTATAAATCAAAGAAAAAACATAATAGCAAAATATGATTACTGGTGGAAAAGAAATTGATCTCATCTTTCGTTGAACTGCATGATCAAGACATCGTTTAACTAAATTTGATAATGACTAAGTAAAAAAAAAAAAGAATTTTTTATTTATACTGAACAAAGATTATGTAATTAACCTTTTGAATTTTTGAGATATCTGATGTGTGAACTTCTAATTTCCATGCAGCACAAATAATTTGTCGTGCTTTAGTGGAACCACCACCAAGTATAATATCATCTGTTGAATGTTGCATTTTACGATATTCTGATTCAATTGACGGACCAGCTCGAGAAAGAACACTTTTCAATAATGTGCCCGATGTAGTCACACATACCATCATATCGACCTAACCAATGCATTGTATTATACTAATTTAATAAGATATTATAAAAAATAATTTACCTGAACTTGACTGATATCATCATAGACTACACCAATCGATGAATTAGTGCTTTGTATACGTAGTTTTCCATCCGATGATAACTATTATGTTATAATACGTTAATCGTCATATGAAAAAAAAAACAAAAAAGTTAAACAAACCAAATATGGTTGATCTTGTCGCATCGGTGTTCTTGGAGGTATAATCTAATTAAAATTTATATTTAGTTTTATTAATTAGTTTGTTTTTTAGATATTCTTTGATTTATTTTTTTGGGTTTTCAATGTTTTATATACTGTATGACTGAAATAAATACTTTGTAAACTGTAATTATACAAAATAAAATTCAAAACTTTGATTTCATATTTTCGAAATGTAAAATTATAATAATTTCACATATTTATTTCGTAATTTTTATCGTAAATATAAAGTAAACGGAACACTTCACTCACATTACTCGACGCTGCTGACATTGATTGAGTAAGATCATTTCTTGCTGGACGTATTACCTCAATATCAACTGTAAAAGACATCAAATTTACGTGTTTTATTCATAGTTGACAGTTAGAAATCAATTAAGCAATAAGCTGTTCTTGCAATCAATACATTCATGAGTAGATGAGACGATTCAGTTAATGGTTCTTTTTTTTTGTCAAATCACGAAATCATATCTTAGAATTTTTTTTATAGGATAACTGAAATTTCGCTATGAATAGGGATGCAACAATGATGGTGATCACCGGTGCATAGATCTTAGGTAGAGTGCTGTACTAGCATAGACATGCACGTATAGAATAACAGTGAAGACACGATAAAACTATGGTGATCTGAAATTTATTTCGACATTTTCGATTGGGAAACATCTCTTTCAAAAAAATGGCTGAATTTTATAAAACTTGAGTAAACCATTAGAATTAAAATTCTCTCGAACGACAAACAACCTATAGATTTGGATTCCGGACTCCGAAAACCTTTAGTCTATTGCATGTAATAAAATTCAGTTATTTTCTTGAAATGATCTCCTCAAATGAAAATAATCAAAATCAATCCAAGATCATCATAGTTTTGCCATATGTTCATCACTAGTCTATACGTACATGTTTAGGTCAGTACATAGTTATAGGTAAGACTGGTGCAACATCACCATTTTATTCACAGTCATGAACTTTCAGCAATGACCGACAAGGCTTTTTTTTCTCCTTCAAACATAGCCCTCGTCTTCATCCAGTACTGTATGAATGTTGATCACACAATTTTGTATGAATACTAGAGACCTGGATCCGGCTGAGTTCAGGTCTGGAAAGATCCGCAGTCCCCTAATGTAAACTGTATTATAAGTAAATATCGAAAGTCTACTGTGAAATCTTTTGTTTCATTTCTCATTGGAATTTTTTTTAGCATATGAATAACTCAATTAGATCATTCATTTAGTCTGCTATATATTTGAGCTAATTAGATGTAAGTTTAATAAAAAAAAATGATTGATTGATTGTGTTATTTTAGTTGTTGTCAGCTGATAGTTTTAGCTGACTTACGTGAAATTGTACATGGTTCAGAGATTATGCCACAATGTATTTGATCTGTGTATATTTAATAAATTTTTTATCATTGAATTAAAATTAAATTGATATTACTTTCTTCAAAAAGTTTTTCTGCTGCACTTGTAGGAATCATCAATGCAAGTTCATTATTGTTAAGTAGTACAAGATCTGATTTTAATTTAGTAAGTAAAAGTTTATCTAATTTTTTCTCAATTTGCTTTTCTTGATCATTATTTGTTAATCGACGATAGCCGGATGGAAGTATCTGACATCCTTCGTTTTCCATTAGATGTCTGCCAGGACCAAGAATATACGATAACTAAAATATGATAAATAAATATAGATTTGTATTATAAATCATTAATCAAAATAGTATAATAGATTATATTTTATATAAACACATATTTACTTGTTCATCTTTTATATATTTATTAGAAATATATTTTGTTTGTGTTAAATTTTTGATTTGATCTCTTGGATTGAATGTAGATGACGTGCTGTCTTCTTGCCCTAGTTCATAATGAAAATGTACACGTTTTGTTTTTCTATTTCCGGAAGCTGTTGTTGTAGCAATTGGACTGGTACGAAGTCTCTCATCAACTAAAACAGAAATTTGTTGATTTTAATCAACTAATATGATATGAAAATTTACAGAACATTGTACCAGATGTATATTAAAATAAATTTTAAATAGCAATAAATTGTTCATTAATTTTTTAATCTGTTAATCATCTTCTTGTTAGCTATAAACTCAACCTGACGAGATAACTTCTCCAGATGTCAAATTACTTTTCGACTAAGACGATGTTCATTTGATAAATGCTAGAGAGTAATAGAAAAATCTAGAATGGTTTGATTTTCCGAATCCTCGCTCTTGAGATATCAAAATTTTACTGATTTTTTTTTTCAACAAAAAGCTTTCATCCCTGCCAGATCACATGGAAAATTGACTTTTCAGTTTCGACTTCAAATTTTACACGAACAAAGTTCTCAATGAGATTAATTAATTGTGTAAGTTTTAACTTTTCTATTGTTTTCTTTCTGAAGATGTAAGTATTTGAACCAAATTTTGTTTTACATATGAAAGAATTTCGAATATCTCAGGATAGAATATACTAGAAAAGTTATAACTTGCCCAATGAGATAATCTTATTGAAAACTTTGTTCATGCAAAGTTTGAAGTCGAGACTTGAAAGTCGATTTTCTACGTAACCCGATGGGAATCACAGTTTGTCGTTGAAAAACCCAATAACATTTCGATGTCGCAAGAGCGAAGACCGAGAAAACTAAACTACTGCAGACTAATTTGTTACTTTCTAGTACTCATCAAATGCACATTGTTTCAGTCGAAAAACGATTTGAAATCCGAAGAGATTCCATTGTGATTTCTTCTTACTCTTAAATACTCGTATTGTCGTCGTGGCACACTTCTTATTCATCGATTAAGTACAAACATAAATAATGATAAGGAAACATCGATATACTACACTGATAGTTAGATCTGGAAGAATCTACGAGAAATTGAATTTATCGTGTTTTTACATTTATGCTTTTTAAGCTACTAGGGCTTCCATATTTCTCACCGTTTACTTTCTTTAGTCCTCTTATGATTCTTAATTCCTTCAAAATATGTTTGTGGTGAAGAAAAGACTCATATTCACACTCTAAAAAGATCAACACCTTCTTATTACTAGAAAAGGTGTGTAAGTATTTTAAAAAGTGAAATGGGATTAATGTAATTTCTTGTGAGCTTATGAAGATCTATGAGAATCAGATCAACAGTTTTCAAGCTATTCTCCTAAACATTCGTCAGAATCCTTAGAGTTCCAATGTTATCATATATTTTCATGGGATTAACGAAAAAAAAAATTCTACTGAACTAGAAAAGACGCTTCTGAAGATTATACAAATGAAAATTGAATACATTATTTAGTGATATGTGGCAACTGGATGTTATAAAAATCAATTCATTAAAGATGGTAGCATTTCTTACGTTTCTTATTTTCATATATTTTCCTTCTAAATCTATTTCAGTTACTTTTCTCAAATACCATCTCATTGATGTTTAGTCTATTTATTAATATATAATCGAAACATAATGTAACTTTATAAATCTGTAATAATTTCATTAATCAATATTCATTTAAAACGACATAGGATTGTTTAATAAAACAATACATACTTTCACTAAAGGATTTCGAAAGATCATTGTGTGTAAATTTTCCTTTATATTCTGGTTTAAATGTAGATAAGGACATTGTTGTAGATATTTTTCTATCAGTTTTTCTCGGCTGTTCGAAGTCCTTTTCACGTAAATTTAAACTACGACTAGCGATTTCAGATGTTGGATATAAAGAAAAGTCTGGTGTGATTGATCTCATTGTTTTTGAAACACTCGGTTCGGTTAATGTCGAAAGACGTGGAGATACAGGAGTTTTTGTATTCTTTATTAATGATGATCGATCACTGGAAGTAGCATGTCCAGGTAATGAAGTAAAAGTACTTTTAGATGATTGATTATTATATAAAGAAGATGAAGGTTCAGGTGCTGAATTATATAACAATAGTTTAGCATCATCTCGTCCGCTGGTGATAGTACTTGTTCCACTTTTCAATTCAATTTCATGATTGTCATCTGAAATCGAAAGTCGTCCAACGCTATGTGATACCATTTCTGAAGAATTTGATTCTGAAGTTCGAATAAGTTGAGCTACTCTATCAAATTCGTCTCCATTCTGTACTGATAATTTAGGCATTCTGTCAAGGATAATTCGATTGTGTAGAGTAAAAAGTGAATGTGAATGTGAACATCTTCCATTTAAGTTCAATTTCAAGCATTTACTATTTAATAGATAATCACGACATACATGAAGATTATTACATGATAATGAAGGACATGAACCGGAATTTTGTTGATATATGGAACATAGTCGAAGCTATATGAAATATTATATATCATACTGTGAATACTTGAAATAAATCGATTGTACTTACATCTATTTCATTTGAAGGATATTTTGCAGCCATTAATTAATTACAAAGTAAGATAAAAGTCCACAAAAAAAAATTATATTAGGATTCTTGACGAATAGTTATTTTTTGATTGAAATTTTTACAATAGTGTTAATTATCAAATAAATATTTTTTCTTTTATATGAACACTTCTGTCAGAAGAATATGTATCTAGATCCAATCCTCTACAAATATAAAATGAAATATATTGGTTAAAATAGAAATGAATATTTATTGACAAGTTTTTTTTTACTTAAAATGCAGTCTTTACCTGATCATAAAAAATGAAACAAACATGTGAGCCAAAGAAATGTAACTCATGTCGCATAGGTATTACGGACCAATCAAACTGCAACCTTCATTTTATTACAGCTAAACCATCTTTTTCTCGTTCGTCTCATTGACAGACTACATATATGAATCATATTGAAAATAAATCTCATAAACTACTGATTGACGCATCAAATGCACTTGTTTTTCAGTGATTATTTCTAATTGTACTGTGTGAAGATACTTTGATAACTGGAGTATTATTTAGGATTCATATATATTCAGAATCAGGGAGATCTTAATAATAGTTGTACAAAATATTATGTTGGCCATTTTTTAGAAAACTTAATAGATGACGCTCTCTGCTAATTCATTACATAGAGATTCCTAGATTGAACTTCCCCCACTGGATCCGTTAGGAGCCTTGAACTGTCGAATGCAACGAAATCCGATGCTATTAAAGTATCTAGTTTTGCTTTTTATGATGATGCGATGCTGTTTTTCACTAACCTAAGTCAAATATTCACGCTTCTACCCAGGTCGAAGTCATCCATTCGAATCGGATGGGATTCCTAAACTGTAGGGAGAAGTCGTTGATAACCAGGTGGGTCAAATAACATCTAATGTTCCGATGTAAATTCAACATAATCCTATCGAAGGCTGTCGGATTATCTGGGATGTTTCATCTGATCCGGTGGGATTCAACTTTAGAATTCTTCGTTCTGAGGATCACCCTTCGGAAGAAACTACTCTGATGAAACAAGTACAATATAATAGAGAAATAGATCTATCACGTATTGAAGTAAATACGCAAAAAGTGAAGTTTTATTACAAAAACGTATAAATATATTACGTAATAAACAATATGATATATGTAATATAGAATAAGTCAAGGCCAAATATAACGTTTTCTTTGACCTTGATCAACAATAACGAATATAAGTTGAGATCAAGAAAAAGATCAAAGAACGAAAGAAAACAATACATATATAGTAAAACCTCTCTATAGTGAACACCGTCGGGACTATCCAAAATCGTTCAGATTAGCGGGATGATCACTTTCGAGGGGTGTTCACTAACAAAGATTTTACTGTATATATATATGTATACTTTTGGTGTGCTCCCAAGACATAACGAAAAGATATAGAAAAACAACAGGAACGAAATAAAAAAAATAACAATAGTGAATGTGACTATATTACAAGATCATTCAGAATTCCTTGAAAATAGTTCATTGTCAGCTGACGGTACCTCATGATCATTCTGTACGATATATAAAGAAAAAAGTATAACATGGACTAATCGACTCGAATTTGACTGACGTCAATTTGACTCATTTCACACGACCCCTTGATTCTCGTACGGTGCTGTGCGTGTGTGCGAATTATACCAATAAGTGTCGTGACTATGCTTAAAGTAAAAAAGCATGCATCTATTGTTGCTTGAAGAGTCATGAATTTCATTTGCAAGCATTTAAAATACAAAAATTTTGTGTTTAATTGATTATTTTTGATACTGATTAATTGTTTAATATCTACTAAGGATTTTTATTAGCTATCTTCATATTTATGTATTTTGAGTAAACATTAATAAAGATGGATCAAGTCTATTAATCTGAACATAAGAGAAGAGTTCTTTATCTATACTCATTTTTTTGTTGATTAAAAACACAAAATAGAGTATAGATATTCAATGCAGTACAAAGCATAGCATTTATATAATCCTAAGCAAATCTTTTTTTCTTTCATTCTCAACATATGCATCAAAAGTCTGAATTATCGGTAGTCACTTAACAGGTGTTGCACTGTGTTTTATTGTATGGTATGGTGACATTAAAGTTGGTGTTCTCCTTATAAAAAGAATTCTATTTTCTGATATTATATAGTATCAGAAGATGGAGCACTTTTTGACAGCAGAGAACATTACCTTCAATGTTATCATATATTTACTGTGGAGCACATGCTAAACGAATATCGAATTTTCAATCGCAATAGTTTCGAGGACGGAAAGTCAGGAAATACCTATCGAAACATGAAGATGAAATTTCATAATCGAATCAATACTATTCACTTTTTGATCTTCAATTACATGTTCTATTTTCTTACAGTAAGCCATTCAAAAAATGTAAATTTTTGTTGACTTCAAGATAATTAAAACGATGACAGCACACAACAGTTAGTATAACCACTCTCTTTACTTATGTTCAAGACAACTGCGAATATATAGTTGATGATAGATAATCAATAAGAGCAAGAATCACGCGATCAATCAATAGTATTCATTAAATATAAGATGATGTTTGTTAATAGAATTCGTTTAGTAATGAATTTCATCATGACTATTTTGCACTTTTATTTTGACTTCACTATCCAAAAATGCAAATTTTGCGATTTAAAGCAATGGAACAAAAGGTAATTCCAATAAAACGTAAATGTCTTTTGGAAAACAGCGTTTCATAATTACCCATAAATATGATTATTTGCTTCTTTGATATATAAATTTATTCATCAATCGACATTCGAATGAAATTCGAATGCCATCTAATTATTTATCAAATGGAAATTTTAATTGATAATTTCGATAAAAAAAAGAGCTCTCGTAGGCACGCATTCTGACATGCTCCTTCAAACAAAAAAAATTAAATGTATAGACTGAAGATCACAGAGAATTTCTGGAGATGAAATGAGACGTTTCTGGTCTGAGGTCCATTTTTGAGGAGGGTGACCTTAAAATAATTAAAGATAAGATCATGCTGCCGCTTTCCCCGTTAAAACTTATTATACAGCATATGACCAGCCTGTTATATATCTATTTCTTCTAATGTTTATCAACTCAACCATTATTCAAAAATATTCCCTCGACTGGAAGGAGGGTCATACGAAAAAAACTAAAATGTGTTTGTCTGTTTGTTTGTAGACAGGGTCAAAGATCAAAGGTCAAAAAAACATCAGAGATGAAGTTTATTTTGGTGTAGCTTCTAAGGTTCTAGTAAAGGTAATTGAGGTCGGGAAATCCGGATTTTATATCCGACCTTCCCATTGGCTGGAAAGCCGATCAATCAGAATTGAGCTTTTTTATGTTAAGATTTTTGTACATTTTTATGGAACTTTACTAAAGGTTATCGATGACCAGGATTTTGAATCTGAAGTTGGATTTCACATCTGGCATTCCCTAGGGTAGATGTGGGTGTGAGCGTCACTTTCAGGGAGGCCTCAAATACTTACACCTACAGCCACAGTCACACCCACACCCACCTTTAGACCATTCTGACAGAATCTCATTGAACTCAAACATATTGTTTGATTGTTGTTGTTTGCTTATTTGGTTTTTTTTTCTCTTTTATTTTGTTCATCTCTTATTATAATCAGATTACTCACCAAAAAAGTAAATTTATTCCATCAAGTAATAAAGCAATTCCTTTTTTGTTTTGCATTTTCTTTTCCAAAAGTTGACTTAGATTTTTTTTTCATTTTTTTATGTTTAATCTTGTTGAACAAATTGAAATCTCTGTTTTTCATTTTTACTTCAACTGAACTAACATCAAAATTGATTCATATAACCATTTCTAATTTGAATACTAGTAGCTATACACGTTTCATATATTCAAGTTCTTTCAACAGAAGAAGAAAAGCTACATTAATGACTATTTACTTGCTCTCCATCTTAATCTATAGCTTACCTCAATCGACTCGGTAATTTGGGTGTGGGTGTGAGTGTGGTTATTGCTCTATCAACCAAATTCACATTTACACCCGCACCCACACCCTTACTATATTCCTAATTAAGAAATGGTTTTCCTTTCTTCTTCCCCTGCACTTTTAGCCTTTATGTCTTTATCATTGAGTTGACGTCAAAATGAAGACAGTCATTGAAAGTTCGACGTCAATTGTGATTCAATATAGTTTCATAATTTTTTTTCTTATTGAGACATTGATAATACATGAAAAGATATATACTTCTAGATTTTTTTGTGTGTTTTGTGGGTGTGGTATGAGTGTGTTCCTACGTATTTACACCCATCCACACCCACCTACACCCGACACCCGACACCCACGCCTACACTCGACACCCACATCCACATACCCACACCCACACCCCACAACCACACCCCACACCCCACACACCCACACCCTCAAGATCTTTTACCACTACTTATTTGTGTTTTTGCACAGTAAGTAATAGTGTAAAAATCTTGTGTACTATTGATTTGATTCCACTTTGAATCATTCATCTCATACAAAGTCAGCTGATGAGTTCTTTAAGCAAGGACGAAACTGGTCTTGATGTGCTTGACTCACCCGAACAGATTAATACCCGAAACGTATACTTGACATTTGCCGTCACGCAATCTTTCGTGTCTACCTGATTCTTCGTGTGCTCTTCTTTCTATAATCATGTACTTGAAAGACATCACAGAGAAATGGGGAAAAACAACACTCTTGTTTATTTTTTCACAAAATGCAAACATCGAAACAAACTATGAATTGCCAACTAAAACAAAATCGTATACTAGAATTATCCAAGTAAGCTCGAGGAGATCCTCCTGACAGCCTGTTTCTTGACCATATGGATTGCTTCTGCTGAAAAGTGAATTTTGGGTGCAACATTTGTAAGATGAATATGCGTTAAAGGAGCATCGGTCGTTCTATCAATTTTTGTGACATGGAACATACTTCCCGGAAGAAGTAGTACTTCTTGCTCTTCTTCAAATTTCGAGATACAAGGTGATGATTCTGAAACTTTAT